ACGTGTGCTCTTCCGATCTTTCTTTAAGTGACACTAGGGGTAGTTTATTGGTTGTAAGGGTGCCTTTCGACGCATCAATCCAATCGGCCTTTTTTCACCCACTCTTGGCAGGAATATGTTGTCGTGTGCCAAAGCGCAAATGTTACAAATCATTTTTGACGCTTAAATAACCAGAAGCATTTATCAAAATTCTGTTGGTTTTCTGAATTTGTCAGTAAAGTAGACTTGTAGAAGATGTGATGTTATTTAGAGATTGTAACTGTGAACGCTGATTTGATTTAAGATTTTTTTATACTGAGTCAGTTAGGATTGAATTTGTCAAAGCCTAGACTCAGACTGACCTTTTCAGGTGACAAGAACTTCCGCGCTAGCTTCTTATTACTTGCTAATTAAGAGGGAGAAGATTCTTTTCCATGTAAAATCAAAGCTAAAATCGATGTTTATTTATGGTGACGGCCTGTGCCATCGCTTGTTATCGCTGTTTGAATACTTGTGGATTTAATTTCAAGTCTTTAAATAGTTTTTAAATGTTCTCAACGTTTATTTCAGACTATTAATTTAAATTTAAATTTGTAAAAATATCTACTCATAACACTGCATTAAGACACATGCGCGCTTTCGTAGCCAAAAATGTGACGATTTTAATAAAAATTAACAAATATTCGGCACCATAATTGCAGCGGTCACTTGTAAATAAGCGCGAAATACCTATATCTATGCATTTCAACAATTGTATTAATTTGCAAATTAAGAGACATCCCGCGCGTTTCCATGAGGAAAAATCTGACGATTTTAATTAAAATTAACGAATATTCGGTCCAGGAAGTGCAGCGGCCGCTTGTAGATAAACGCCAAAAACCTCTAAAGTTTAAAAATTTTATTAATTAGTGAATTACGACATCCCGCTTTCGTGACGGATAGTTTTAAACAATTTTTTATTAATCAATGAATATCCGGCTCCGGAAATACAGCGGCCGTTTAAATAATCGCTAAAAGTTAAACCTGTATTAGTTTAACAATTTTATTAATCAGTGAATTAAGAATCTCGCTTCCGCGGCGAAAAGTTTAACAATTTAATTATAATTAATGAATATTCAGCCCCGATGATACTGCGGACGTTAAACAAGTGTTAAAAATTAAACCTATATAGTTCAACAATTTTATTAATCCCGTGAATTAAGAATCCCACTTTCACTGACTAGATATCAATTTTATTAATTAGGGAAGATCAGCCACTGAACGTACATGGTTTTTTAAATAAGCGTAAAGAGTTTGGCGATCTTATTAATTAATGATTATTCGGTCTCGAGACCCGAAATTAACGTGCCGTTTAAATAAGCGTCAAAAACTTGTATGTATAGTTTAACAATTTTATTAATTATAATGAAGAGCCCCCGAACGTAATTACACAGTGAAAGGGCTTCATCCTCGATGTGCGATTTTTTAAATATGCGTTACGCGAAAAAGTTTAACTTTGCAGTAAAGCGACTTCGTCTCCAACACGCAGTTTTTTGAATAAGCGGAAAAAGTTTTTTTTCTTTATTTTTAAAATAATATTTTTGGTTTTGAATAATATATTTTTGTGCTGTCTGTTTAATCAAATACTTTGCCATTTTTATAATCTCATATTTGTTATTGGACCATGATAAACTGTTTTTAGATGGTGTATAATATTATACATTCTATAAAAAATATTTTTGATTTAGGGTAGATGTAACGTACGAAACTTTTTTATGTACTTGGCGTAATTGTTTTCTTTCTTTGAAAAGAATTTTTAGTTGACTATATTTTCCATAACTGATTCCTTTAGCAATCTCTGGGCCTCAAAGTGTTTAATCAGTATGAATGATTATGCGATTTCACTAATTGATCGTTAGTAGTTGGAAAAATAACAGTATATTTTGTTTGATGCAAGTATACTTTGTTTATCGAAAATATTCGATATCTGTATACGTTGTTCGATATGCGTTATCATGTTACTTTGTGTACCCTCTTTTATACCTTCTCTTATGAAATATATACCACACTTATTGACTGACGTTTTATATTGGTCGTGATTTTGTTGTCCTGCATTTGTCGTCTTTTCTGCCGTCTTATATTTTCAATCTGACATTCAAGAAAATCGAACTAAGGAAAGCCTCCAGTGTGGTGTATGTGTATCAGAGACTAAGGCTTCACAGTCATATTTCATTGGATTCGAGATTGAATTCCTTACAGAATAAAATGGTAATAAAGAAATTTTTTATCTTCGTAGTCGATTAAATAAGCTCGGTAATATAATACTATATATTACGTAATTCATGAGTAAAAGTTATACACAAATTAGTGTTTTAATAAATGTACACTTGTTTTGTATATATATATTTTTTTACATATTTATATACATATATATGTATATATATATATATATATATATATATATATGTATACGTATATAATATGTATATATAATGATTATATGATTAATTTCTTTATCTATTTACAATAAGCGTAATAAACGACAGAATACCCGTTATACTTCCTCGCAAACTACGGATGCATACGTACACACGTAAAGATGCACACAGATATGCATGTTATTATTTAAATATCACATATTTTATATTTATATATGCACGTGTTTAGACGAAACGTTTTATTGTACCATTCTCTTGATAACTTCTAATTGGAAAACGTCACGGGATATCTACAAAACGCTTTGCATTTCTTTGGATACGTTACTCTGATTTTCGACGCTTTATTATTTATCACGCGAATCCTTTGTACCTGTTTCTAATCACGTGCATTGCGAAAGACCGTAGACCGGTGGATCGTTGATGCACTAACATACCAACTACTAACATACTTGGTGCTTTCGATCACGTGAATCTAATTTTCTCTTATAATCTAATCGCTTCATATCATAACGTATATGAGGCATATGAAATATTGATATTACTGTCACTTAGGCAGTGTTTGTTCCTTGTGAGAACGATATCAATGATATCAAAAAGATTTTCTTCGCTTTGTAAATATATCGATTACGTACGATATCGATAATGTTATCTTGTGTATAGTTTTCGTATATGTGTGATAAGTATAGAATTCTTAAATAATACGATGTTTTTTTAGTTTTTTTTTTCAAACAAATTCTTATTAATTTAGAACGTACCCTTTAATTAATGAAACATATTCTAACTATTGTGGCACGTAAACGACCCATGTTATGCACAGGCCACATTTAATATTTTGTTACTGAGTATCTATCGACGGAAACCTTATGTACGTGTGTTCTGAATTATCGCTGCATTAAAAAACGATTGAAAAAGCAAATTAACGCGATACATGTATTGAATATCGTACCATTTTAATTTTAATTACTTCATGCAAAAAAATTTTTATCTAGATGACTGAACTTACGCAATTACTCACATATCAATTTATAATTTCTATTGTGCCCTGAAACACAAACGAAGAAATACCTCGCAATTTATCGAGATAATTGTTTTCAAAATTCGAACTTCAAACTGCGGTTATTTAATGACCTTAATGTTAAATATTGTTTCTCTTAAATATGGCTTGAAAGAGAGAGTAACACTATAATGCTATTCGATCTAGATTAGTATTCGATCTAGAGACTCGTAAAAATTTTGTAGACTTTGACATGTGCGTCAGCTGAATAAAATTAAATGTTGACTGCATCTAACGCGATTTAAAAATATTGCTGCTCGTTCATCGATGATCATACATTGTATTAGATTGTATCTTAAGCTTCGCACGTGGGCGGATATTCTATCCTAGATGTAATATATGTATATATTTATATATATCTTTTTTTAAGAATCAACGTGTTTTCTAACAAGGATGAAAATTTCATCTAACATACATAGAAGAATATACGTAATGTATTGTCGCGCTAGTGTACTCCTTAGTTACTATAATACTTCTCACGGAAGTAATCAACTCGGAATTTAATCATTTCAATCGATTAGAGTGTGACCGAGTAAAAGATCAAATGTTTTCCTGATCTTCATTGTCTCCACCACCAAGATTTTCCTCACTGTCCTGTCGATCCATTGCCACGAAAACAGCTACGAAGCCTTTGTTTGAAATTGTATCATCTGTTCTAAACCTCACTAGCAGCGCCTCGTTCATGGAAATAAAATCAGTAGTATTCTGTAACATAGGGATCGCAATTTCTCGTACAGTTTGGATGTTTTTCTTATATACCTTTGTGTGTTTTTATTATTTTGACATAATGCTTTTAAAAGCATTCAAGAACATTGAAAGATATACTTACAGAATTACCGCAAAATCGACCATACGGTGGGCTAGACGCATCTAAACCGGAGAAAACTTCGACAAAGTCGTATCCACATTCAGTTTCGTATTCCAATTGGAACGAAAGAAAAGATAAGTGAACATTTTTACCAAGTGGCGCTTCTATTACCCAGTCACAATCCGTCTTGTGATCGTAATGATAATAACCGTATTTAGCGTGAGAATATAAATGCTTTGCTCTATCGGTTGCCATAAGATGACCACCGCAGGCTGTAATAAAAAAAGTTATTATATGTTATTATTTTTATAATTAGATAATTTTATATTTAGACATTTGATAAATCGGATTTCTTTTTTTGCCAAGGCCCATCAATGTGCTATAAAAAAAAAACCTTACCTGTACTATGGGTAGCTAAGAAACCTTTTCTCTGTACAGAAGCATCGCTCTTGAAAACCATATACATTTGATTGCCTGTAGCAAGAATCGGATGTGGTTCCTTGTTACCGCAAAATCTACCTAAAGTGATGCTGTCCGGTGAATCTCCGTCGTAAATAGCAATATGATCATATGCGCATTCTTGATGTGGTTCCATCTCGAAAACTTTAAAAACCTGTGACATTGTCACAAATATCTTTAATACGTATTTTCTTCTCTAATTATATTATCTTCTATATTTCTTTTTCTTATTTTATATTTGTTTGAAACAACTTAGCAAACATAGATGTAACCGTGCTATACAGGGTTGGGAAGTAATGCATTACTTGTAATGTCGTTACCAATTTTATTACACTTTTTCAATAACGATTGTTACTTTTTCTACCTATAACCTTCTACCTATAAAATGTAACGATAATGTCGTTACATTTTTATAGTAGTGATATAACAAATTTGTCATTATTTTTATCATTATTTTTTTATGCTTTTAATTATTTTCTTATTTTAATATAATTTGTAGTCTGCATTTTTATAATTACTACCAATATTAAAAATAATATACAATGTAATTTACATTACATTGTATATTATGGATTTTCAGTACTAACAGGAAATATTGGAACGCATTCTTAATAATGACTTAATGTAAAAAACAGTCAATGTTTAAAACCAGTTTTCTCTAATTTTATCTAATTTTCTATAAATATATAAGTAATATAAACTTGCTCTATATACAGACTAATTTAGAGTGTTCCAAATTTTAATATTTATTACATTTAATAATAATTATCAAATAATATAAATTTAAAATCTAATTAAATTTGTTTTGGCATTACAAAAACGTATAACAAAAAAGTTACGAATCGTTACTTTTCAAGTTATGGTAACGCATTATTTTTTTAAATCAGTAACGAGTAATGATAACAAATTACGGTTATTTTTTACAAAAACTAGTACATAACAGGCGCACGCTGTGTATTGAATCCCATACATCTTCCAATAACATTTATACCAATTTACATTTTAATTAAACAATGTTAATAATTTTTGATAAAAAATAAATTTTCAAAAAAAAATGACGCTTTGCGCGCGGTGGGTATTAAACTCCATGCATCCAATAACATTTATACCAAATTACATTTTAATTAAACAAATTTTAACAATTTTCAATAAAATGACGTTTTAATCGGCCATATTAAATCGGCCATTTTTAAATAAAATCACAATTTTTTAGAAAACAGCCACATAATTCATCTTTAAGATAAACCCAGAAAGAAGTCGATATTTTTATTTTTCTGGAAGATATGAATTTTTAAACATTGGGGAAAAGAGGCTTCAATCGGCGGTAACACGCCAATTTTAATATAGGATAACGGTAACGATAACGCGATTTTTTTAAATCTAACAGTCCTAACTGCTCTGTTGTTATATGACGCGTATACGTAATATATACATATGATCGATATACACGTTTTTCTATATATATATATAGCTATGTGGCAATTATATTCGATGTTTGTTACAACATACATTGTTTTATAATATACCAACGTTTTACAAACTTTGCGAAATAATGGTACGAACCAATTTTATCCGATGGCCTGGCTTCGTAGTAAAATGCCAAACGCAATCCTTACGTCCAGGATAATAATCCGGATAGTTCGGTGAGGTAATTGTTCCCATGGGCGCAGTAATCTCGTATTTGCAGCCACCCTCTTTGCAATCGTGACCGTTTTCATGAAGTGTGAATCCATTGTGACAAGAACATTGATAAGAACCTATCGTATTTTTGCACTCGTGCTGACATCCACCGTTGTTATTGGCACATTCATCCATATCCGTGAAAAATACAGCAGCAAAGCCTGATTTTTGGACGCTGTTCAACAAAACGTACAGTATAAATGACAAAAGTACTGATTGTTCCTACCGACAATGCAAATCCTGACTGACTTATATCAATGTAAGATACTTTAATGTTGAAATTTTGAAACATTTTGCTTTGTTTAACATAAAAAAAATTGACTATGCCTCTCGTACTTTAACATAACAAAGTAGTTGTGATCACTAATGTTTCGATTCCTTTGTGCCTTCTTCTTAACTATCAAAGACATTACCGATTTCAACATACAGTATATACATTATATGTATATAATATCAACAAATCGATTCGATTTTCAATCTTTTAGTCTTTTCTGTGAGGAAAGGAGAGAGAGAAATCGCGCGTCTTCTTTGTACAAAACGTTATTTATCGATAGCTCGAATAAAATACTGATGAATAAATATACATCGAGCAAAATATGACAAAAGATATGATGCTATGCCTTTTTCTATAACGTAAAGGTGTATAAAGGTAATAAATTTGAACTATTAGACCCACGTATTAAGAAGATAGATATCGTGAAATAAACCTATTGTCAGATGTGAAGGTAATCCTTATAAAATTGCCCTCGGATGTGATAAGTGGCGGTAGTCGTGCGCCACAAAATATCCCATGCTTTCTAAGAACATCATCACCAAGCTTGCTCGCTATTTCCACAGAATCGTATTCGCATTCCTCTTGGTATACATTATTGCCTTCGAGATCGAAATGCGTGAAATTTAAAGTGATACGATATTGAGGCGGAGCTATAATTTCCCAGATGCAATTTTTATTTCCTGGATAAGCTTCAGGAAACGATGGACTCGTGATAGTGCCATTACTATCGTCGAAAAATCCACCACAAGCATCTATGAAAATAGAATTGTATTATTAGATATACTGACTTAGATATACTGACTTAGAGATTTTGTATTTTTAAGAGAACTGTCGCTCTTTACCTTCGCAATGTTTACCGTCAGAGTGTAACTCGTAACCAATTTTACAAGAACATTCGTATCCACCGAGTGTATTGATACAATCGTGTTCGCAGCCGTGATCCGTTAACACGCACTCGTCGAATTCTTAAACATTAGAGTAACATCACATTCATCATGTATGTTGTACAACAATCAGAGTAACAAACCAACATGAAATTCGCGCAGTGTAGCACCTACTCTCGGCTACTATATATATTTACTTGTACTTAAATTACTATACTGCTGCTTTCGTTATATTATACGCACCTTTCATAAAAGTTGCCGAGAAACCAGCCTTTTGAACGGAACCATCGCTGACGAACTTAACGAGCAGCTTGTTCCCTGTCGACTTAATGTCTGGTGGTATCTTGTACCCGCAATAAACGCCGATTAAAGGGGAATCGTTGTTATGTCCGTCACGCACTTCGACATAGTCGTACACGCAATTGTCATGGTTCTCGATTTCGAAAGATTGAAATTTCAAGGCCACTTGATAATCTTGAGGTACAGACAACTTCCACACGCACTCTTTGCTAGACTGATATTCCTCTGGATAATTTGGTGATTCTAGATGTCCTATGCCGTCTAATTCGACATCGCCGCCGCAAACAGCCTCATAACTCGCCGTAAAACCACGGTGACCACTTTGCCTGCTGGACGTTACGTACGTTACCAGCATACGACTTCCACTTGACACTATTGGTTCGTGCATTTTACCACTGCCACAGTATCGACCTGATAAAAATGAATACGGAGAATTTGAGCGAATTATAAAATCGCTATTTCCTGGCATTTTCTGGCCAGAAAAGATTTAAGAATCACATACAAATTTATTAAATTTACATCGCATACATGTCTTCCCTATTCACGTTCCCTAAACTCCACTCCTTTCCGGATCTTTCGTATTTGCATTGTCGAGATTGTCGGACGCAAGCACTTTTCGCGTTTCAAGGTTTTTTCTTTTAAAGAAAAATGCTATAGGTATGCTTACCTAATACTCGGCTCTTATACCAGTATCCATCTCGAATTTCAAGATAATCACTGCGGCAATAATCGCTTTTGAATATGTCGAGAGACGTTATATTTAGTACGATACGTTCGCCATGCGTCGCTGTAATCCTCCATTCGCACCGTTCTCCATCGACAGACGGAGAATTGTTTGAATAATTTGGTGATCCAAAGCTACCACTATTCTCCTGAAACGTTCTACCGCATTCTGCAAAAATTCATCAAGTCTATCTATTTAATCGTGTTAAGCTGAATTAGCCAAGCGACTCATATACGTATATTTCAAACAAAATCAAATGAAAAAATTGAAACATCTCAATTTTATCGTGTTTACATTTTAAATCTTGTTTTCATCAATGTATTATATATATATTTGTATTATATATATATTCGTACTGTGTGATTGAATAATTAATGAATATATATTTCAATGTCTAGCCTTTTTCACTTTTTCAGACACATTATTTAATTTTTATTGTTACTATATAAAAATTCCAAGAAAAATACGTTAGATTCTTACTGTGACACTTGTACAGAAGATTCGTTTGTGCGATATCACCCTCGCTCAGTCTAATTCTTTGTCCGATCTCGGGTCTCTTTTTTCCATGAGTTTCCATAGGTAATATTGTATCCAAATAAGTACCTTTTGAAAAGGTATTTTTTGCATAGTGCATAATAGAATCATAATCATAGGGCAAACCCAGTGAATTCACTTCTTCCTCTGTCAACTTATTGAAATTGTATTCCTGACCTGCCAACAAGATATTTAGTATTTTCACCCAAGAAGCGTAGAAGTCTCCTCATGTTAGTCGAGAAATAGATCTCTTTATAGAGATAGAATTTTATAGTCGTGTACATCAATTTTGCTTATTTCTTCAATAATACAAAATAATCTCGACATAGTCAACAATCGTTTCGATCTTTTATATACGTACATGTATACATATATCGAATGCAATGTATTTGAAATTTTTTTTTTTAATAAATTGGGAAAATTTTCTTTAATTTTTTATGTTAAACATCCTTCTAAAAAAGGAGATATAATTATAGATTAAATAGTAAAAAGAGAGAATGGATGGATGAGTGTGATGTACTTATTGTAGTACTTATTGTTGGTCACAATTTTGTAAATCTAATCCGCTTTTTGGCTTATATTGTAACTGCCTAACTGACAATGAAAAACGAATAAAGTCTATAATATTAACCATTCTTCTAACCAAACTCTATCTATGGATAATTTTTATTGATAACTTTTTATTTACTTTCTCATATTTATTCCGATTTGCACACAGCAATGTAAATACTATATTAACAACCGTTAGTTACGTCGCATCAGCTATTTTGCAACGTGACAGCATGGAAACAATTGCAATTTATAAATACACGGTGCAGTCTAACAATAAGTAGAAGCTTTTAAAACGTAAACTCAAATTATATAATATAATAATTAGCTATTTTACTAACTAAACAATTCATTAGCATAGGTAGTGGAGCACGATAGAATACAGAATTACCGATAATTCCTGGTACTTGTGACGCGTGCATCATTCTGAAAGATCGATAACATTTACAGATTCTCATTAAATTAGATCCGATTAATTTAAAACGGAAATTAATTTCAGCCACGAAAACAAATATTTAGTACAATTGCTTTGCGACAACAAATATGGTTCAAGGCATGTATGTATAACATACGCTTTCAAATAAATCTTATTCACGTTCACTAAACATCAAATGAGTATATGACAATTCTGTGAAATTTATGGAAATTGAACTGTGTGCTCGAATATATTATTGTTTTGCGAGGAACAGAGGTAAATTATGTGTTCTCCAGAGGATGCATCGATGCATCATCTAACCTTCGATTTTACACAAACACACACACACACACACACACACACACACACACACACACACACACACATAAATCTCTTCTATTACCAAGTAGTTTTTATTGTGTATTATATCAATAAAAACAATATATACACTTCGCGACTAATGTATAACAAGTATAAAATTTTTGAAACGATTATCGAATCCATACTAAACGCAACCACCTGATATTAGAAAATCTTCAATGCGTCGATTTTTCAAAGTGAAGCTAACCGCGTGTTCTCAATACTTAATTAAAGTTAAATGATGAAATTCCTTTGTGCAGTAACTAAAGATAAAATGTTTTTTTTTTTGTAAACTCGCTCATATATAACATTTACGATTATATTAAATATCGACTGTCTTTTCGGCTTAAATAATATACCTATATCACGATTATATTTTAGATTAGATGTAATTTGAGATGAGTCAAATATATAAGACTTTAATTGTAAGTGCTAACGTTTTCTCAAGCGCTGGAACAAGAGCATCTTTCTAAAAACACCTAGCAGCTAATGCATACAATTAGGTCATAATTATATCGCTGACAATTTCTTAAAACTCTTTCTCGTACAGTCGAGCGAATAACTTTGAATAATGAGAAAATGTTTCCTTACATGGATTTTCCGTCTATTGTATCCCAACGTCAACATATAATATGATGTTGTACGACATTTACTCAATTCTACGTTTCACAATATCTGATAAAGTCTTGCTAAATAAAATTCACATCAAGTTTTATGTGGGAGTTAGAGATTAAATCTCCACGTTAGATCTTCCACATTGAAAAGATTAATCATTAGGATCAATTTGAGAATGATTTAAAGAGATATTTGATAAATGAATAAGTAACAAGTACGACTATAACGCGCCGTGTGATGATCTAATTACAATTATAACTTTGTTAATAAAAGAAATCCGTTTAAAAATTTATAGAAACTGATTCCAAATGACCTGGTCTAACAAAAGTCTAGAAAATGACTTAAAAAGATACAAATAATTTTATGATATCTTCTCTAACAATAAGAGCTCGTTATTATTTCTATTTTTTACTTTTCTTTTGTAAAACTTGATATATAATTTTAAAAGAATTAACTTTAATTGTTGATCATAACGATAAATTAATTTTAACTGTATATTAAATTTCGAAATTGTAACTAATTTTTACTCACGGTATTGACGTTATTAGCGACATGACATCTTTCACGCATAGATATTTTTTAAAAAGCCATTCTGTCACGCGTATACTTGGCTTTATTTACCTAGGCATTATTGACATTAACTTACGTCAAGTGTCACGCTACACACGCGCACGCGTCTTACATATATTCATATGGTTTCAAAATCTAGAAATCTGAAATACCACTTACCACTCATAATATTATCACGAATGATTTGTACATGACGGTCACGATCCGGTCGGGTATGTTCGTGCCAAAATCCAACGACGTGACCCAACTCGTGTACAACTATGCCAAATTTGTCACAATTTTTTCCGATACTAATAGCCTGCGGTCCGTTACCTCTCTTTCCAACGAAAGAACAACATCTATCGAGAACAATTTAACATTTCATTAAACTTTTATTCGTGTTCCGGACACTAATTCTTGTCTTTTTTCCTATTGAAATAATAGTGTAAAATCATATACGTGTAAAGAATATTACGACATTATAAGATATCTTGTACTGCTATGTAATTATTTTACAGGAAAAAAAGAGGATAAAAACGATGTGCCGCTTAAAATAATAATAATAATAATTCGAAATTAGAATTGCTTATAATGTAAAATTTAAAATAAAATTGGAAAGACAACAAATTGTGCAAATCACATGCTATATAGAGACAGATGTAATAGTTGTTTATTATGCGTAAGGCGCGACTCACCCGCAAGGTCTTTCCGTAAACAAAATGTAATTAGGATGCTCTCTAGGCACTCTCTCTACAAATTTGACACAAGTGAAGTTTTCCCAGTGTCTCATCGCTTGCTTGAATAAAGCTTTGTGTGCGCCAGAAAAATTGCCATCGATCTCGTAAGGGATCACACCATGATCCCACACTCGTTCCTTCCTCGCAGTAGCCGCCCGACGTATTCTGCTTAAATACGCGTGTCTCGTGCCGCCCTTATTCGTCAAGTATTTTGGTTTGTGTTCTATATCGTAGAATTCAATAGAACGAAGACGTCGGTCGTGTACAGAAACAATTTCATCCGACGCATCGGTACTAAGATGCATTCGTCGATTACGATTGTGATTGTAACAACATCTCCGCAAAATTCTAAGAATACACAAACATAGCTAGTTAATAGTTTTATACATACATACTATTCACGCACGCACGCACGCACGCACGCACGCAAGCACGCATTCATGCACGCACACGTACATGCACAATACATTTGAATATATCAAATTTTCCAGCTATAGAAGAATATGTGGCAACAATATTTTATTTAATAAACTTTTAATCATATGCTCTGGCAAAACACATCAAAATGAAAGTACAAACTGAAAACGTTAGATTAAGTTGCAATCAACAATAATAAAAATATAAACCTTGCCCAATTATTAGAAATATTGTGCGTCTACCTAAAGTTAAGTGAAGCAAAAATATATAATTTTAAAAGTAACATAAAATGTTTTCGTTCTTTCTCGAAAAGCCAAAAAGAGGCATTTGTGAAACAGAGGACGATTTCGAAAGTATAGCGATAAAAACCGATCGCTAGACGTAAATCGAAGACACTGTGGCACGCATTACTTTTTACGAGAACGGACGAAATTGGCAATTGACGCTGGCAATTGCGATAGAGGGATCATGTTTTATTCGCGATTGGATGAATAAAGAATAAAATGTAAAATATAAATACCTACATAAAATTTGCTAATCCATGATAATGTAGACGGTCGAATACTACGATCGATATGTAGCTACAAAATCGTTTCGACAAAAAATATTACATAGTTTCATGTTTCCTCTGCGTAAAAGAAAAACATCGAGCTAATTAATTGTATAGCAATCGGCGCGTTGTAATACAAACAATCTATATCCTAATTCGTAATAAAAAGTACGACTGGCAGCGAGGCCTGCCGAGAATGAACGACTGAAAGATCGCTTAATTCGCTATATAGTATTTGCTACAGCTTGTTTATTAATATATGTCTCGTAATATAATGTAGTAACGTGCAGGAAAATCAAGGAATCACACCGCGTCACCGAGTGGTTCATGTATCGTGGCCTCTTAGGCATTTCACGGCGTTTCTGAATCAGCAAAGCGTTACGATTAATTAACGTCTCGCGTGTAGGCTACGCTTAAGTATATAACCGTAAGCACTTGTTGAGAAGCAAGGAGAAATATACAAGTAGAGTGCGTTAATAAATCCGGTTGAGACGCATTTACCGTGCTTCCTTTATATACCTTATACATAGCTCGTTACGCTTAGCGCTGTGTGTTGCGAAGAGACCAACGATTCCGCTACCTCAATGATATATGATACGACTAGTATAGATACGATCTATTTTAGGAGGGTGCACATGAAAACAGAAACTGAAAAGACTAACGCGCAGCGAGCTATTTTTTTACTGATTATAATAGTTACTGCAAAAATAATGCAATTAAATGATCAGTGTTACTCGGATTTATAATATGATACTTGTATATATTTATATATGACATTTTACATAACAATTAACGTAATAACTTTTTTCAGTCTAAAAAGATTTAAGTACTGCATATTTGATTTAAAAATCATTTTCGATATAATTTGAGCGTTTTATTATAACAAGAGACGAATACTTGATAATCGAAAGAAAACCGCATAGTCATTGCGTCTATTAAATATCTCTTTTATTTCGCAAAGCTTGGTCGTATAGCATACTCTGTGCACGTGTATGTACATTAGTGTGCTAATCCCGTAGGGGGTGAAATCCTATAAGGGTCGCGATACGTACATAGAGATTGGGGAGTGCATCGGACGTAGATTCAGCTTTCAAACAGGCTTACTAAAGCGCATGTTTACGCCCTATATCATCCGATACCACAAAATATCGTATAGTACGTGATTCCTGACGAAGCTGTAAAGATTTGGGAGCTGGGGAGGAGATTCAGCCTTGCTAGATCCGCTAATGTGACAGATACAAAACCTGATCGGAAGCTCTTTAAAGGATGAACAAAAGGAAATTAGCGACGTACGTTATGACAAACTTTCTTTCTTCAAACTTTGTAAATTAGCTAAAATAATGGCAGTTTGTCAGTCTGCCTGTCTCAAAGTTCCCGTCAAATTGTATTATTACATTCTTGTTGTAATCAACATGTTATATTGAGTTTATTTATCCACGTACTATATTACGTTATTGTTATTCTATATTATCCGATCGCTCATGTGTCATTGCTAGTAATGTATTATAATTATACCTTATATATATACTGATGCAGTGTCTAGAAAATTGTCAAAATAATTCCATACATCGCGGATAAATGATAATAACGGGAAACAAATAGAAAACTTTTTTGATATTTAATTAAGAGAGAAATTCACTTTCGTGTGTAAAAGTAGACGATGATGCACGAGCGACATACCTGATCACAGGCATACGAAATACGCGGCATATACGAAACTGTCGCTGCCAATGCTGACAAGTTATTGGCAGTTCGAGGGCTGAAAATGCCAGGACAGGTAGTATCGAATCCCATTTTCCAGCTTTATGACGACGTCCATTGTTATTGACATTACGAAATAACTCCCGCTAGCGGAAATACTCCCGTTAGCGATACTTAGAAATTAATGCTCTCGTCAATAGCCAAGTAGAAAAATATTAAGGTCGTGCCAAATTATAAATTTCGCGTTTGTAATTTACACAATTTTTTCACATTTATTTAATTAGGTGTCCATAGTGAATTGATGAATCGATCATTTTCATTATGTCCGAAAATGATTTACGCATGTGTGTACATACATATGTAATATTGTATATCAGTGGAAGATATATACACAATACATTATAATCAGTGTTTAATTTATAACTAGTATTATCATTGACTGGCATTATCAACTTATGTCATCATTTTTACATCAAGATTTACTACGCTAGCGATGGAAAAGACATCGAGCAAAGCAAGATAAAAATAAATAATTGCCGCCTATACCGAATGACTGACCGAACATACTAGCAGTACTAGCTAATAATCTATATTCTATTGTATATCCATTGTGGTGGAACTTATGGTTACAAATTTTATATTGTAATTTATAATTAAATAAGATTTTAATATTTGACTAGTGAATGTAATCACGTCTTCCTACCTTCTGCGATGATGACGTCGATGTCGATTTGATACATTTTTCATACTCGTTTCAGGTTGCGTGATAAATATTTCTTTGACGCGATCTGTGTATATGCGACCTACATATTTATTATCCTCGAGAGTTAAAGTTGTAGAGGTTGAAAATTCGAGAGGCATGTCGTCATTCGATTGTCTGGCTTTCATTGATCTCGACATCGAAGTCCTCCTGGAAAGCTGTCGATGAGCTTGTCGTTCAGAAAGCCTTTTCTTCGAAGCTTGGGTCGAGGATTCCAATCTGATAGACACAATAAAAGCCACAACTGTCAATTAGTAAGTATCATTTTTTCTTTTAGAGTACAGCGGGGTAATTTGGATAACGGTAAGCATTTGCAAGAATTTCAGGAAAATAAAAGATTTTAAAATACATTTTATTAGATCAATGTCTGATCTAATGAAATGTATTTTAAAATTTCTTATTTTTCTGAAATTCTTGCAAATGCTTACTGTTATCCAAATTACCCCACTATTCAAATTACCCCGCTGTACCCTACGCTGTTTAAACGCATATATTTAATTGTCTATAAATAATATTAAATAAATACAATAAATGCAATAGAGTTAAATGTATTCTTTGAAAGAAGCATATGTTTTTATTATCAGATAGGATAGAAATCAGCATATCGCGCATAGCGCATTTTTGAGATTTATATCATATATTCTCCCCTTTCCCCTTCTCCTCGTCTCTCTCTCTCTCTCTCTCTCTCTCTCTCTCTCTCTCTCTCTCTCTCTCTCCCCCCCTCCTCCCTCGCTTTCCGTCTCTTTCTCTATGATTTATTTTAACATTCATTGATATTTTCTCACGTATAATACATAAAAAAATGCATTATGCCATTAAAAAAATGTGTCAAATATTAAACATCTTTTACTAGATATTCTTGTGAAGCGCATAGTAAATATGTAAATTTATTGCAATACCTAAATTCAAGACCCTCGTCTTTAACCGCAGGATTGATATCATCATTTTTAGCACTAAAGCTGAAACCATTATTGGATTCGTTATCTATGTTATATTGGTTGCGATTTATTATGATAGGCTCTGGTTTCTTTTGAACAACCATTTCATCGTGCTTATGAAGCATCTGTTTGCTTGTATCGTGTTCGCTCTTAAACTGGAGAATCTCTGAAATAAACAATATCATTTCTTCTAGTTAAATATAAATAAAAGCTACCCATATAAATTATAATTGCTATTTCATAAGTAGGTACAAATATTATGTAGAATTATAAATTCGATGTGTGTGTGTGTGTGTGTGTGTGTGTGTGTGTGTGTGTGTGTGTGTGTGTGTGTGTTATAAAACAAAATTACAATTACAATGACAACTATCGGGAAATGTATCAAAACTGTTTTCCAATAATTTCTATACAACTGCGTTTTTTTTTAATTTTTTTTTTTAGATAAAATTATTAATATATTAGTTACCTGTAAGACCTTCTTCTTCCACTTGTAAACCTTCTTTTAATATTTCTTCTCTATACTTTTCCAATTCTTCCAAGTAGCTTTTATTTAATTTTTGTTCGCGCCATTCTGTGTCGTATTTAATATTTGGCAGTGCAATGTCACCGAGAAAATCATCTGAAATTAATCACGATATATAGGTATAATATTGTTATACAGTTCCATTTCCATCAATTGAATGCACGCGTTGCGCTCGTAATAAATTAGAATTTTTCCTATTTGCGATGTCGCAAGCGTATACATATCTGCGTGCGTTTGCGCACGTTTTGATTAATTAATTAGACGCTCGCGCACGAACGCTCGCACATACAAGATTACAACTCGATAAGTACTAACAAGGTTGAAATCGCCGCATATTCATGGGGACGTATATCCATAAATACAGCCTCATAGCAACAAATTACACAGCTGCTGCAGTTACAGCTCATCCTAGCATGCATGCATTTATATGCGCACATAATAGAGCTAACAAGATATTAAATTTGTTACGATTAACTCTATACAATTTTTACTATCTCCTCTGTAATAATTTCTTTTTAACTTTTTTTATTTTCCAAATTTTTTAATATCATAATTATTAAAATTACTTGTTTTATATATATTTATACATTATAATAATTATAATTATTTGTTATATATATATATATACATATATATATGTATAACAAGTAATTTTAATAATTATAATTATAATATTAAAAATTTCGAAAAATAAAAAGTTTAGAAGGAATAATTGCATATACATATATATTTTCTACTTAGAATTGCAAATGCGGCCCTGCACAGCTTCCGTATACGAATTCATGTATATGCGCGGTGCAGTCGATTACAAACCACGTAATGCCAAACCCCTGTCCGTTTCAAATCGGTGATTTCGTGCCATTCAGGCGGAAGCACCGTCCGAATGTTCACGTAAAATAATTTCATCGATACTCCACGTATTCATTACAAGTGATAAATGCTCTTGATCATATCAACTTTCCTTTAAGGTCTCGCTATGTATGTATATTTCCAAAATGTCCATTTCATTTTACTATACTAACATTAAAAGATTAAGATAATAATCATTTATAAAAAATTAAGATAATAATTAGTTATACCTTGTAATAATATTATTTTTTATATACTATCTTGTATCTTAAATTATCCAAAAAAGTGGAAAAGAATAAACTCGCAATAGTGACAGAAACTGTCATTCTTAATTATTTTATTAGAGAATTAGAGAAAATGTTTTCAGAGAGAGACACATTTATCAGATAAAAGAAAGGGTGAAGATAATATCCAAAGATGCTATCATCTTGCTACAGAAGAGCATGGCAAAGAGCCAATCATGATGTCGGAACTGTTTCAATCTCCAAATCGATCAGAGAAGCCTCCTTTTCCATTTCCAGGACATTTGCAAGAGCATGCAAGATGTGAGATAGTTAGATAAATAGAGAGAGAAAGAGAGAGAGAGAGAGAGAGAGAGAGAAATAGATCAAACACTTCATGAAGTGGAGTAGACAAAAGCTACTTTTGATTAGCTATGAAGATGATTTTGACTTTAGCATTTAAATACTTGCGACAACCAAATGATTCTAATTCGTCATTATTAAATTTATTTCACTAATTTTAGTTTTTTTTTAATGTATCTTTTGTTTGTTATTATTAGCAACACGTTATGATTATTTTTAGTTCTAATTAACAGACTATATTCGAATGAACAGGACATTCTAAAATATTTAATTAATTAGTGAAATACAACAATTTCTTTAGATTTAATCTTGTTCAAAAAAACTTTAATCTTTAATATAAGAATCATTTCCATAATATTATATATTGATATATAATCGATTTTCAAGCTTACAAACTTAGAACGTAATTAATACAGCAAGAATAGATTTTTGTCTTGAATTATTCTACATTAACACTACTAATATGGATTTATTACTCGTAAAAAGTTAAGAGGAAAACAAAGAAGATGATGCGTTAATCGTGAAAAAATGAGAAATGCCTGATATTCTCATTGTCAACATTCTGACTCTCAACATACAATATGTACAATGAATCGTACGCACGTATTACTACATATGTACGTCCACGGATTACGTGAGTATGTGTACGAATATGTGCTGTATTGATTCGAATGGAGAAACCTCTCGCATCGCGGCTCGAGTCTCTATCGCGTCGGATTAAACGCTTGCGTACACTACTGACGTCAATTTTATATCTGCTTTCTTTTCGTTCTTTTTTCTCTTTTTTGACCTGCGCGCAGTAACATATAGTATTCGATGATAATTTTCTTTTATTGGATTGATTGAACAATATTTTACACCTTTCAATCCTTTGACAATAACAATTCAATGATCGGACAACGCGCGGTAAAATCGCGGGTGAAAGGAATTTTGTGTTTTTATAATTAATATTTTTCTTATCGAACGAAACGTGATCGTTGATATTGTGATTGTCGAATAGTTTGATATAAATATCCATAAGGTTTCTTTATTTTTAAATAAATTACACATTTAATTGAAATAATGTCAAAAACCGCTAGCGGATTGTCACATAGATTCTGGAACGTTATGATGTACTATATTATTACTATATTATACTCGGCAATATAAATATCTCGCCTTTTATTATTTTATTGCTCAATATTGGATTACCTGTCAGAGATGAGAGACTGCAGCGTAGCTCAAGAAAAAACTTCTATAGAAACTATCAAAATACAAGTTCCACAGGTATAATTCATCATGTATCTTTTTTCTTTTCAATTTGAGTACTTACTACTTAATATTGCAATCATTAAAAGACTGCCCTTTAACCTTTTAAATCCGAGATTACAACAAAGAGGTTTCAGCCTCTTTCTTATACTTTTCTCATCAATTCTACATCGTTCATTTATCAAACTCTTATAAGTACCATTCGAGAACTTTACTGCATCCCTTTTTTGCTGTCTTCTGTGCACAGTGATTTCTCTATCGGTCTTTTTTTTAGTTACAGCTATTTGAAAAATGTTTCTCGATACGCAAGGCGTGATTAGCTTTGAATGAAAACGTATTTGACACATCTAAAATCTCGAAATTTGTGGTCTTTTACTACCTAACAAAAAAAATTGACGAAACTAATCATATTATAGAAGATCACAAATTTCGAGATTTTAGATGTGTCAAATACGTTTTTATTCAAAGCTGATCACGCCTTTGAGTATTAAAGTGAGTAAAAATTGAACAAAGGCATCTTATAGTAGAGAATTTGCCCTGTAAAATAATTTTTTGATCTATTTTTTACGTCAATTATTCGTTGAGTAACCAAAGTTTAAAAATGGGCAAAAATTTACTGAGAAAAGTAATCCCTTTTTTTGAACCAGTATATGTATAATATACATATAATACATATGTTTTTATCAAGATATTTTCACTCGATTATATTTTCTCAATACGTTATATATATATCGTATGTAGAAACGCCGTTTATGATCAAATGTAAATATACAAAATATATGAAAAAATAAATTATAATTACAATATAATCACTTGATATGTTATATAAATATACAATTATTAAGTAGATAATTTGTATATACGTCACACGGGTGCCTTTTTATTAAGTGTATAAAGCATCGCATATACTGGCAATGTTTATATACATATATGCATGCGTGTGTATAAAATAAAATGTAGCATGTATCATTTGTTCAACACTTTAAATTGTATCAAATGTGTATAATGTTTATCACATCTATATATGGCATACGACATTTACATTCACATTTGCATTTATTATACATTCTATAAAGATACTTAATTGTTTTTGCGCGATAAAGTAATAATTATAAAGTACATACATAATGCCAAATATGCGAATGTGCAGTTTCCACACTAATCATAAAAAAATTAATTATTTATTAAGAAATGATTCCTCTCGAGGTGACTGTCACTTTGTTACATGTCGCAAGCGATAATAACTTCGTGTTAATAATGATTCATTGTATTATGACATGTCTCAATATCGCCGGTCTGAAAATAATGATCGTTGTAACGATCTGCAGTGGAATTGATTTCAATCATAAGAAGTGTGAGTGACAAATATCTCTATAGTTGGCACTTCTATCGTTCGTCTTTCATACCAGGTGAATATTCGATTTAATCTCAAAGAATAAATCCTCATCACGTTCGACTTTTGTGTCACTTTCCACTTCCTGAGTTTGATTCGATCGAATGCCATAGTTTCACGTTCATTTAGAAAATATATACGAGAATCGAATAATTATTTCTTTTATTATTACGCTTCTAAAAATGCTTGAAGAATAGAGAAAAGCGATACATTTTTTAGATTTGTGTGTAAAGATACATTATAATCATGAGCAGGAAAACAGTCGCGACTATATGGCAAACTCTGTGTGTGTGTGTGTGTGTGTGTGTGTGTGTGCGCGCGCGCGCGCGCGCGCGCACCTGCATGCAAAAAGTAATTAATATTGTAATAATGTTACATGTTTATAAATTGTAAATGCAAATGTAATTGGAAACGTCTCAAATATAACTAAACTAAAATAGAGCAGAGATAATTATATTACGTGTGTCTTATTTTCCATATTGAGCACAATACATATACTGAATCAAGTTGTCGAGTTTGTGAGCTTTCTTACCAAACCTAAAGCTTGGATGCTCTGCAGTAAACATTGTTCTAAATAAATGTTAAGACACATCAAAATCTCGTTTCCTCGTCTGGAATTAAAGAAAAAGCCTCACAAACTGCGTGCCAGAGGCGTGCCGAGGGTTAGAAGGTTATCTTTTGACGTGATAATCTAGCAAACAGAAGGAAAGCAAGGCGAATGGCATATGCTACATCCCGGCTTAACCAAGGAGGATCGAAGAGAATCGATTCACATTGATTTATAAACAGCTATCTTGAATAATGCTTTCTTTTTATATCTCTTGCAAATTTAATTTTATTATATTACGTTTCACTAAAAAACCTTGTCAATCATTTATAAATAAAAGACGAAAGAGACGAATCATTTATACTTATTATGTCTTTTAATTCAATTGTGTATTTATAAGTTTTAATATTATATTTTCAATATTAATTATTGCAAGCATTCAATTTCGACTAACTATTATTATAAGCATCACATATCTTACTTGCTTTTTAATTTCAATTGCCATTTGTGCAAGTCGATGGACTTGTATAACTTGACAAATTTATGTTCGGTATTGCTCGACATTCCAAAAGCATATTTTCTATACAAATACATCTGTAGCTTTTTATTTGTGCCAATTTATCTTGTTTTGTTGTAGTTGTTAATTTTTTATCTGCTTGTTTAGACATAATATTAAAATAAGCTCAAAATATATGATGTAATTTCACTTCAAGATTTTTTATGGAACATTCGAATATGCGCATTCGATATTAATCATTAGGTATAGATGTAATTTGACACTTTGCGGTATAAACTTACGTTGGAAACTTTCATTATCACGTAGTTGGAAATGTAGAACGTGTTTTTGGGACGTACCTACCACACTTGTCATATATATTTAACTCAAAGTCTTCTAATTTAATGAGAAAAACAATTAGAACAGTGACAAGCGCCAGATAAATAGAAGACATTGAGAGAGAAAGAGACTAAGAAAGGAGCAAGGGAGGGGGAAAGAAAGAAAGAGAGAGATGACAAAAGAATATATGATAGAGAATTCAGAACAAAAAGGGCAAACCATGAATATAACGTAGTGATAAATGTAAAGCAATGTAAAACTAACTTTTGAATAGAAAAACTTTGAAAAAACATTTTTATCCTGATTAAATATCGTTTGTTGTAGGTAATCAAACTTTTACAAATAAAACGAATATCAAAGCTTTTGAATCTTTTTATTTTAAAAGTGTTTTCAAACTTTTAAAATTAATCGAAACGATCATTGCAAAGAAAATCTTGAAAAAGAAATAAAGCAATTTTAAGTCGAAGTATGTACAATAAATGCATTATTAAACACAAAAAATCACAGCGTGTGCAGCTGAACATTTTACGTACAATCAGAGAAGAGAAGAATGCGTGTTCGACAACACTATGCACCAGGATGAATTAGCGTTACAAATACACGCGATCTCGACAGCGAGCGGCCAACTTTTTCTTCAGCCTTCTAGAGCAATATAGAGAAATGTGACATGCTTTTTCTTCATTAATAAGACATACTTGCGTAGCATACTGATCTTCGTAGAAACTTTCTTCAAGTCTTCCGAATAATTGAAAGCTAAAGTTTTCATCAAATCGTAACAACACGAAGAAAAACTTTTGAGCTGCAATCTTTTTTGCATAAAATAATTATGTCAATATGTAATATACACCTCTAACGAAAACATAATCCATTAGAGATTATTTCTTAAAAATTCACACAATCAGCGTATCACAATGCCTATGTGCTACATCGAAATTCATCCTTCTCTTTCCACTTTATATATCACATGTAAGTATGTATTATTAATATTAGTATTAGTATAGTATATTTATACGAATGTAATATATTTATATCTGTACATCACAATAGTAATCTCAATTGATCAAATTAAGTGATCTAATATGGAAATCTCTAATTGCGGAGAAATTTTACTAATTTAAAAGACGTGATATAAAGAAAATCTAAAAATGTAATCCCAATGCAAAATAAATTCCACTTGTATATTAGAGTTATTCTATTAACCAATCGATTATGCGAAACATCATTGGTTTTTTTATCTCTACTCAAGTCGCTGAGACTTTTCATAAAGAATTTAAAGTTCTGCTAGTGATTTACATTACATCAATTATATTTAGAAGATAAAATATTTAAAAAATTATATACATTTACATTTCTTCTGCAATTTACAATAATCAATATAACGATCGACTTGAGCTATTTTGTAACAATGCCATTGTTTCGAATTTTCTCTTTGTTATTATATTTCTCCAAAGATAATCGATCTTTAAATAGATTTAAGGGCGAAAAAAGTTGCAAAAAAATTAGCAAATTGACAATGTACTTAAAAAAAATGTAATTGTTAATTTGTCTGGACTTTTGATGATTAAAATTTACGATGATTAAAATGATTAATATCATACATTTTCTAATATGTTAAATCTACAATTCTATCTAAAGGAAAATTTTTCTGCTATTCTTTTTTAAGTCAAGCGAATATCATGCCTGAAAAAAATGTGTCGTGCCATATCTTTCTTTATCTCCTTCTTTTTTATTCCATTGCTGACTCGTCTACAATTCTCTAGACACTTTCAAGATAATCATTTCAAGAAAAAGAAAAAACGACCCTACTTCCTTGCTCGAGCAATTCTTAAGTTTTAATTTTGAATTCATCTTAGAATAGAAGAAAATAGTAAATGTCTTTAAAGTTCTAAAAGAAAAGATATTACCTAATGGAAAACAGAGACTTATTCATTCAAAAATAATATCCCTTTTCAAAAACCAAAAACATTTATTCTTAATTAGCGATCTTTTTACATTTTTCTTATTGTCAATTATTTTAGCTTGTCAGGTTGTGTTTAAAATGTTGGAATAGAAAAAGAAACATATTGAAGAATTAATATTTCAATTACTTAAATATTCAATTTAAACATTCCTTCAATTAAATTTTAATAAAGAGCATAATATATACTTGAAGTTGAAGAAAAAATCAGATATTAGATTACTTGCATCTGCATTTATAAAAATCTGTTTTTTTTTTATTTTATTTAGAGCAATTCAAAGATGTATGTCAACGCACTTCATCATTTGCCTTAAAAAAATTTTTTTCAATATGATATTAATAATTACATCTATTTTTCTATGAATGCATGCATTCTCTTGAGATATTTCGATATATATATATATATATATATATATATATATGTTATAAATCTTTCTTCACTTTTTGTACTTACCTGCCTTGCAAATATCAATATCAAAATCTCCAGTGATAATGTGTGGAAACTTGGTGTTGAGTAATTCCTCGACGGAAAATTTATGTCGTTTACTGCGCTCATTCTTATCAGTATCATTTTCAACGGCTCGGCAATCGACAATCTTGGCCAGCAAGTAGACGACTGCGAGTACCAAGAATGTCTTCATCTCGAGATTATCGGATAAAATATCGGTACGACGACGACGACGGCGACGACGACGACGACGACGACGACGAAGACGAAGACGAAGAGTCGAGACGACGACGACGACGACGACGACGACGACGACGACGACGACGACGACGGCGACGACGACGACGGCGACGACGACGACGACGGCGACGACGACGACGGCGACGACGACGACGGCGACGACGACGACGGCGACGACGACGACGGCGACGACGACGACGACGACGGCGACGGCGACGACGACGACGACGGCGACGGCGACGACGACGACGGCGACGGCGACGACGGCGACGACGACGACGGCGACGACGACGGCGACGACAAAATTAGTCTCTCAAATACCAGTTGGGTCATAACAATTCAAACGTGCTACTGTCCGCGCGTATACATTTTTATATTAATGAAAGAAATCCGATCATGCAAATATAGCGTTAATTTTTTTATTTGAGTAAATCATTGATCACATTAACAACCCGCACGTTTTTATATAGTAATAACACGTGAGAACAATTCGCAACGGACGCGGGAAGACTTTTGTTTACACGGAATGTCTATACATACATTCAATTACTAAGCAAAATTTATCTCGGACGCGTAATTCGGCTCGGCTAATAAACAATTGAAATTCGTTATTCGCCGGACGGAGCGAACGGCAATCGTCCTTGCATGGAGAACGTGGAGAACAGACTGATCGTGTCCCTTGCGGCAGACACGAACGTGTCGTTCGAAAGCGCGCGCTCATACTGGCATTAAGTCGAGAGAGGAATGGAGAGGGAAGGGAATATATATGTGTATTCAGAGGGGATGCCAACCGGTCCCCTCCTCGCAAACTGCACAACACGAGGGTGGCCGAGACACTGACCGAGCTTCCGTACTTTGAAGAATGTGAGAATGAATCCAAGAGATTTCTCATCGCATAAAGATATACGAATATTTTTCTACGAGCTACGAGGGGAGAGAAAACATTTGATTTTATTTAAACAATACATCATTTTACCACAATATATCTTATTATTTGATAAAATAACAACACTTTGTTATTTTTTTGCAAGAAACGTATATGTTTTTTTGTGCTGTGTTAAACAATTACCTTCAATTCAGACTCCTTTGCATGCCTAGACGGTGCAGTCTCATTAAATATTATAATTAATTTGCAATTTAATTGTGACGCCAGATCAGGAAGAAAAATGCAGAACTTTACCGCATTCACAGTGCGCAATAATTCTTTGATATATAAAACGCAGAGACATTGGAAATAAAGGACATGATCAATCAAATAATGTAAGTACATATATTTTAATTATTTTACGCACAGATATCGACACATATACACGCTCGCGCAAAAGTACTGTTTTTAATATGCACAAAAAATAGTAGTAAACTTATGTTGACGAATATTACGTCGATAAATATTTCAAAATGATTCAGGATTGTATTTGGCTTTGTACTTTTGGTAACATGTATTTCATATTCCATGCGACAATCTATAGCGGTCAATTATAGTATCGAATTACTCGTGTTTTATGAGAATATCCTATTATGAATAACTCTAGTTTGTTTCAAAAATATACCAATAGTATTAATAATTTTTAAAAATATAAAAAGCAAAGGAAAAGAATTTCTTTCAATACTCTCTACCTCATTTTGATTAATTCCTAATATTTCACTACTTATTATAACTGACTGTGATTACGTGACCAATAAGGCCTGTGTCAGATTGGAGAATAAGCTAGAGATTATAGATCAAATCTTTTCTCGTATTTTCTATATGATTCGACAACTTTTGTTTTTTTTTCTTTTTAAATACAAAAGATTAAATTCACAAAAATTACAAATTATCAAAGAATTATACCTATTCGATTTTATCTAACGTGCTTTATTATAAATTATTTCTCATTACAAAATAAAAATTTACTTTCTTCTATTTTTAAGAAATAATTTGAAAATAAATTCACGCAAGTAAAAATTAATAAACAATTCAGATAGTGTATATATACATAAATAACAAATAAAAATGAAGACACACATAACAGAAGAAGGGAAAAATAATAGTCAATATTTGGTTTCCTTTTGATAAAAACCGGATATTCAAGATGTTCTAATCTAGATTGCTGATTTCAAAGGTATTTTTGGGAATTTTTTTATAAATAAAAATTCAGATATACTTAAAAAGTAATATAAATTTATAAGATACATATACAATGTACTTGTAAACAATTTTTTTACAAGGCAGTACAATATAGCGCCGAAATTAGGCCTATATACCGCGAACACGGTCAAATTAACAGTGATCAAATATCAATCGTGGTCATGGGTCCGACTGTATTTTATGTTTTAATATTTTGTATTTTACCGCTTAATTAAGCTACACGTTCCGATAGTCACTATCAATATTCAAAATCTATAATTCACATTACATATATGTTACATTTATGCTATAGATTTTTAGCACTAGCAATGAATATTGGAATGCATTCTTTATAATAATAACTTAATGTAAAAAAACAGAAAATTCATTTAATCTAGCTTTCTATAAAAATAATTAAGTAATATAAAGCATCACTTGCTCTATATATAGACTATATTATAGTTTAGAGAGTCTTAATCAAGTTTTAACGTAAAGGACACCTCTCTTTTGAATGGTTTTGTTTAACACAAAATTTGAAAACAATTACGTTCTTTTTTCGAAAATTTAATTCAGGTCAGACAATTTTACATTGAAAAACTCATTTTGTTTTAATTTTGCTTTTTATTTTCACAAGATATAAAACTTTAAAGTAATTCACTTGGTGCGAATTCGCACTCAGGTGTCCTTTACGGATTAATATTTATTATTACATTTAATAATGATTATCAAATATAATATAAATATAAAATCTAATTAAACTTATTCTAGTATTACAATAAAAAAGTAATAACGAGTTGTTACTTTTCAAGTAACGATAACGCGCGCGGTTATATACTTTTTAAAATCATGGTAACGAAGAACGAATTACTTTTTACAAAAAAAAGTAACGGTAACGCGGGTAAAGCGTTTCTTTTTTCAGATAACGTTTCCACAATCCTGAACATATATAATTATATACATATATATAACTATAATCGCTGTACCGAGGATAACAAACAACGATCGTTTTATGTGTCGACCAAATCACTATTTTATTAGCAACAGTGAAAATATATGTTCATTTTTCAATTTTCGCAACGTTATAATTGCTAGATATATAGCTGCAGTATATACGAATACACTCTTTTTTTAATTTTCATAACGTTTAATGTACGATATGTGTATACATATATTGTATTATAACACATGCATAATTGGAAATTTATATCAATAGTCGATAATATCGACACTGCAATTACCTTCGGGCTCCTTTGATCTGCAAGCTATACATATATGTATATATGTTTATATATATATATGGTGTGTGTGTATATATATATATATATATACAATATATACATATATATATATATATATATATATACATATATATTTGCAGATTTATACGAAAATTTGCCCTGCAGGTTTGACGGTCCTTAATATCGATCGTCGGTGGTATCATGATTGAGGTGATCGATTGCGGTTATGCCAATAATATGATCATGATTTGTAATTTTATATCGTGTTTATTATCACCGACAGAGTATCTCGTCGGTGTTATTATACATCGATCGAGTGAAATGTTGGCGATTCTCAGCCATTCTCAGCTGATAAAACAGAAATCGTGATCGTCTCGAATTACATTGCAGGCTGATTAGCTCATTGCACTGCATTGCCCTTTTCTTGTGCTACGCAGGCTACGCTCACCGCTCATCACGCTTGATCACGCTGTGCTGTGCTACGTGACATTGTACGATAGATCAGTAGAAAAATTAAATCAAATTAAATTTAATAATGTCGATAGCACTTGGAATGTGCGAGACACCCGGTTGTAACGCCGTTGCAAGTCTACAATGTCCAACTTGCTTGAAAATCGGCATCCAAGGTTCATATTTCTGCAGCCAAGTAAGACGCGTTACTCTGTCATTACATATTACCATTTTAGGTTAAATATGATGTTATATTACTTTCCTAATTTAGTTAACCTTATTCCGTTACATATTTATGACGTGTATTAGATGTCAACCGATAGTAATTATAATCAGGATTTAATATAATTCTAAGGTATTTTTAACGGTTTTCCAGATTTTTACTATTGAACTTCCATCCACTGAAAGACTACCGATTTAATGCCTAATTATCCTTAAATTAATTCTTGCTACTGATTCCAGTTGTTTCTACAGCAATGGAATAATATTTCTTTATTTAAAATTCTTTACACACACACACACACACACACACAC